AGGGGCACCTACAACAGGTTGCACAGGACAGCGTCCAGGCGGGTTTTGAATGTCTCCAGAGTGAGAGACTCCACAACCTCTCTGGGCAGCCTGTGCCAGTGCTCCACTACCCTCAAGGTAAAGAAGTTCCTCCTCATGTTAGGATGGAACTTCCTATGTTCAAGTTTGTGCCCCTTACCTCTTGTCCTATCACTGGGCACCACTGAAAAAAGACTGCTCCCATCCCCCTGGCACCCTCCCTTTAAGTATTTGCAAGTATTAATAAGATCCCCCCTCAACCTTCTTTTCTCTAGACTATAGAGACCCAAGTGCCTCAGCCTCTCCTCATATGAGAGATGTTCCAATACCCTGATCATCTTTGTAGCCCTTTGCTGGACCCTCTCCAGCAGACCCCTGTCTTTCTTGAACCGGGGAGCCCAGAACTGGACGCAGTACTCGAGATGTGGCCTCACCAGGACAGAGCAGAGGGGGAGGATGAGCTCCCTCGACCTACTGGCCACAGTACAATCTGGCCACGGCACAACCGCTCCCCACCACCCACAGCTCCCGCAAAACCCTCCCGTGGGGCCGGCGGACTCTCCCCAGCACAACCCTGCCTGCAAACCACCCCTTTGCTCTGCGTTGGGACGGGCAAACCTTGCAATACAGGAGTTGGGGACGGCGGGAAGCCCACGCTGAGGAGCCTGGGCAGAGACAGTGCTCCATTTTGCCTCCGGAGAGGCGGCAGCAGCTGCTGGAAGTGTTTGCCGGGCAGGATTGTTAACCCTATGCCATTTCTGCCCCTTGGGGAGCTGTGCCAGCAGCGGGGGGACACCGTGGCTGCTCCTACTTGGCCGTGGTTTGGGGGGAGCACGGCAATGCCGGCACAGGGTCACCCTCTCCCCAAGCTCCTGCATCACTCGTGGTGACATGGTGATGCTGAGCACTTGCCTGGCACCTGCTCCGCGAGGATCCTGCTGCCGAGGGAAGAAACCGTCTGGCTCAGCGCTGCCAGAAGTAGCTAATTACTGATATAAACCAATTAAAGCAGCAGGATTAATCCCAGCGCCTTCCTCACCACAATCCTTCTTGCCCCCCTGCTTGTGCACCCTCTCAGAAGCAGCCCTGCTACGGCTTCATCATGACAGACCTCGAAGACTCTGAGCTGAGCAGGGCTGGGGGGGCAACCGGCACCCACCACAGGCACCCCATGTACGGCTGGGCACGGCCTAGACCCCCCCAGTGCTGAGCCCAACCCACCTCCCCAGAAAGTCCCTCTGCCACCAAAGCAGCCACCAGCTGGAGCGGGGACAACGTGCCGAAGGGCTGAGACAGCTTCTGATCTCACCCACAGCTGCCAACTGCACACCCACCCCAGAGCCGAGCACCCCCTCAGCTGAAACACAGGGGCTGGGTCCTGACGTCCCAGTATGAACCAGTTCTGCTGCAGGGACGTTCTCAAGCAGCGCTGGTCCATGCAGCCCCGTGGTGTTTGCAGCCCCATCCCTACGACGCTGGGGACCACGGTGGGTCTCCATCTGCGCCGAGCTGCTCACCACACTCACCACCAGGTCCCTGCTTACTGATGACCATGGATGTGACCAGTAAGGACCATGGAGGTCATCAGTAAGGTGCAGGAGGCTCATTCCCGGGTTGGCAGGGGACCCAGTCACCAGCTGCAAGGCATGAGCATCCCAGTCCAGCAGCGCACTGGACACAGGCAAAAACCTGCATTTCAGCATGGTTCTAAGAAGAGCTGAAAGAAACACCGGCGGTGGAGAAACCTGATGCCATCAGATGTCCCTTTCCACGGGGCTGGATGGAGGTGAGGAAGGAGGACACAGGAGGACCAAGGGTGGGAGCCACCCCTGCAGCTCTGCCTGGCCCTGCAGCCGCAGCCCCTTGTCGTTTATGAAAACCATAGAATAAAATTCAGCATTAAAAAAATCCCAACAAAATCCTCAGGAAGACACCTCTCTGCCAGCGGCGGCAGCCTGGAGGGTGACATCCACATCTCAACACCCATCAGTGACACATGCCATGGAACCAGCTCCAGGGGCAGCTTGTCCGTGTCCAAAATCCCAGTCTCCAGCCATGACAGCACAGGCAGGACAGTCACAACATGCCACCTAGCACGGTGAGGAGCACCAGGATCGGCGTTTCAACACACGTCCCTCCTCGAAACAGGACTCTTGGACCACAAGTAACAAGCCAAGCACAAAGCTGGAGCTGGCGAGTGGAAGCTCAGAGCCGGAGGCGGGATGAGGCCACCACCACTCTCCCGAAGCCGGTGGCTTCACCGTGACACATGTCTGCTCCCGCCGTCCTTAAAAGACCGGACGGGGACAGTCTCCAGAGGGAAGCAGTGCCGGTGGCTGCCACATCTCCAGGAAAGCTGGAAACGGAGCTTCCCGTTTAAGTGCTGTTTCCCGTTGGCTTTTCCTGGCAAAGCAAGGAGATGTTTTTCCAACTGAAGTGACCCCCAGTGACCCTGGAGTGGGGAGATACGGTGGGAGGGTGAGGGCCGGTAGTCTCCAGGACCCTCCATCCCCAAGGCCCCCACTCTGTTTGAAGCACACGCGATGTCCGCGTGGATGGCAGAAAGGTCTTCCCGAGGAAAAGTCGGATCCCACATTTCTGTTCTTGTGGGTGCTGTGGGCACCCCACCTCCCTGCTGCATCCCCCGGGAGGGCAGTGCAGGGGTCCCATCCTGCGGGTGTCTCGGGACAGGGACTTGGGAGATGCCCAAACCACCACTCCACTGGCCAGCAGCTCCGGCAGCGGCTCCGGCAGTGCCGACACAAACAACCCAGAGGAGCGCAGGACAGCAGCGAGGTAGCAAGGCTGCAAGTGTCACCTCCAAGGGACAAGCGAGGCTGGGGATTGTGACAGTGGCATATGCTGCCATCCACAAGTTTTGGTTGCGAACCTGGGTCAAGAAGGAGGGAAATTTGGGGCTGCCTTGAAAGAAAGCTCAGACCTCTTTGCCACAGAGAGGGCCTTTCACCCCGACCCACAGGTGCTGCTTCCCAGCACCGTCCGGCTGATGGGATTTTAATTTTAATTTAATTACGAGCTTCTACACCACAAGGGCTGTGTCTAACCTGCCAGCCCACGAGCACATCCTCTGCATCCCTTCTTGCCAACAGAGGGATGTCAGTCCCTGGTCCCCGTGCGCATGCGGGTACCCGAAGGGCTCCTCTCCTGCTGCCGCCCCCCCAGCACCGGGAGCAGGGCAGGGGACCTCGGGGGGTGCAGGGATCC